AGCTCAGAAGAGAGTGAAAACCTCTCTGCAGAGGAGTAGAAAATTGAAGACAAATACCAGAACAGAGGCAATACATCAGAGAACTGTAGAATTTGCTGATGATGTTGAAGGTCACTAGAAAAGTCCAGAACTCAGTGAAAAACATACTTTGATTCAGTAAAAGGTAAACTATTACTCACAGCATCAAAATAAATTGGAGAAACAGCAGGTGGTGGGGGATTGGGTGTCAGCTCATTTAGGTTTATTAAAACTTGAAATTACAAGTAACAGAGCATTTGCAGCGACCAAGTCTTATACAAAAGCCTAGTCCTGACAGCAAAGGAGTCCAGGATTGAAGAAGTCAAATGTTAGCAAGCAATGAAAAGAATGAATACGGTAAGTAAGGAGTTGGAAAATATACTACACATAGGTAAAACTGAACTTGTAATCTGGACTCAAATGACCAACTAGTTGAGCCAGGGGATCTTTAGTAGTGAAAGAGAGAAGTTTTGGCCCAGCAGGGAGGAAAGTGTTGAACCGAGGCTGATCACAAAGCAAGTTCCAAAGGAAAGTAGTACCGAAAAGAAACTGCCAACGTATTTATACAAATGAAACACAATACCAGCCTAATGTGACACTAATCTCCAAATTCTGAGGGATGAGAGATGGGCACCAACAGGTAGAAAAGGGAAGAAGTCATATTGGTACTGCAGGACATAGATCATAGAACAATACAGCACAGTACAGGACCTTCGGCCCACAATGTTGTGCCGACCTAAGATCAAGCTACCCTGCATGTCCTACATTTTACAATCATCCATGTGCCTATCCAAGAGTTGCTTAAATGTCCCTAATGTAGCTGATTCCACTACCGCCGTCAGCAGCGCATTCCACATACCCACCACTCTCTGTGCAAAGAACCTAACTCTGACATCTCCCCTATACCTTCCTACAATCACCTTAAAATTATGCCCCCTCGTAACAGTCATTTCCACCCTCGGAAAAAGTCTCTGGCTATCAAATCTATCTATGCCTCTCATTATCTTGTACATCTCTATCAAGTCACCTCTCGTCCTTCTTTGGTCCAATGAGAAAAGCCCTAGCTCCCTCAACCTTTCCTCATAAGGCCTGCCCTCCAGTCCAGGCAGCATCCTGGTAAATCTCCTCTGCACTCTCTCTAAAGCTTCCACATCCTTCCAATAATGAGGCGACCAGAACTGAACACAATATTTCATGTGGGACTAACCAGGGTTTTATACAGCTGCAGTATAACCTCGCAACTCTTAAACTCAATTCCCCTGCCAATGAAAGCCAACACTCCATATGCCTTCTTTACAACCCAATCAACTTGGGTAGCAACTTTGAGGGATCTATGGACGAGGACACCAAGATCCCTCTGTTCCTCCACACTGCCAAAAATCTGCCATTAACCCTTTTGCATTCAAATTCAACCTTCCAAAATGAATCACTTCACACTTTTCCGGGTTGAATTCCGTCTGCCACTTCTTTGCCCAGCTCTGCATCCTGTCAATGTCCCGTTTCAATCTACAACAACCCTCCACACTATCCACAACTCCACCAACCTTCGTGTCATCGGCAAATTTATTAACCCACCCTTCCACTTTCTCATCCAAGTCATTTATAAAGATCACAAAGAGCAGAGGTCCCAGAACAGATCCCTGTGGAACACCACTGGTCACCGAGCTCCAGGCTGAATACTTTCCATCTACTACCACCCACCATCTACTACTCTGTCTTCTATTGGACAGCTAGTTTTGCATCCAGACAGCCAAATTTCCCTGAATCCCATGCCTCCTTACTTTCTGAATGAGCCTACCATGGGGAACCTTATCAAATGCCATGCTAAAATCCATATACACCACATCCACTGCTCTGCCTTCAATCTGTTTTGTAACATTCTCAAAGAATTCAATAAGGCTTGTGAGGCATGACCTGCCCCTCACAAAGCCATGCTGACTACTTCTAATCAAACTGTGCTTTTCCAAATAATCATAAATACTATCTCTCAGAATCCTCTCCAATAATTTGCCCACCACAGAAGACCGACCGACTGGTCTGTAATTCTCAAGATTATCACTATTCCCTTTCTGAACAAGGGAATGACATTTGCCACCCTCCAATCATCTGGTACTACTCCAATAGGCAGTGAGAATGCAAAGATCATCGCCAAAAGCACAGCAATCACTTCCCTCGCTTCCCGTAGTAATCTTGGGTATATCCCAGCTGGTCCAAGAGACTTATCTATCCTCATGTTTTTCAGAATTTCTAGCACATCATCCTTCCTAACATCAACCTGTTCAAGCACATCAGCCTGTTTCACACTGTCCTCACAAACGTCAAGATCCCTCTCACTGGTGAATACTGAAGCAAAGTATTCATTAAGGACCTCCCCTACCTCCTCCAACTCCACGCACAAGTTCCCTCCACTATCTCTGATTGGCCCTACCATCACTCTGACCATCCTCTTGTTCCTCACATAAGTATAGAATGCCTTGGGGTTTTCCTTAATCCTACCCGCCAAGGCTTTTTCATACCCCCTTCTAATTCCCCTAAGTCCATTCTTCAGTTCCTTCCTGGCTACATTGTAGCCCTCTGGAGCCCTGTCAGATCCTTGCATCCTCAACCTTAAGTAAGCTTCGTTCTTCCTCTTGACTGGATGGTCTTCATGTCTTGTCATCCAAGGTTACTTCACCTTACCAACCCTTCCTTGCCTCAGTGGGACAAACCTCTAATAAAGCCTGAGGCACAGTGTCAACACAAGGCACAGCACTCTTTTTCTGAAGAAGGGTCCCGATCCGAAACGTCAGCTTTTCTGTTCCTCTGATGCTGCCTAGCCTGCTGTGTTCCTCCAGCTCCACGCTTTGTTATCTCGCACTCACAAGACAATTAGCTCTTTTGGTTGAACCGCTGGTTTATGATACAAAGTGATACCAACAATATGGGTTCAATTCCCAAACTGGCTGTGGCTATCATGAAGGCCCTTCTCAATCTCACCTCTCATCTGAGGGGTGGTGGCCCTCTGGTTAAACTCACCAGTAATTGTTTTTCTCTCTCTGTCTCATGAGACAGTTGCCTCAGACTATATCGACTGTCACTTTTCATTCCCTAGCACCAGCACTCCAAAATCTGAGAACAAAATTTATATACCATATGTATACAAATATTGAAATCACATGTACAACTCTGGTGCTTACCACTAATTTTTTACTTATCTTAAATGTAGTTTTCCACATTGTATTCCCAAGTCATCCCAAGTGAATGGTGAATAGTGACTAATGAACCAGATGAACTACATCAGAAAGGCCAAAATACTTATTACTTACTTTTGGGGCAGCACGGTGGCTCAGTGGTTAGCACTGCTGCCTCACGGCGCCAGGGGCCCGGGTATGATTCCACCCTCAGGCAATTGTCTGTGTGGAGTTTGCACATTCTCCCCACGGCTGCGTGGGTTTCCTCCGGGTGCTCTGGTTTCCTCCCACAGTCCAAAGATGTGCAGGCTAGGTGGATTGGCCATGCTAAATTGCCCTTAGTGTTCCGGGATGTATAGATTAGGTGGGATGCTCCGAGGGTCGGTGTGGACTTGTTGGGCCAAAGGGCCTGTTTCCACACTGTAGGGATTCTATGACTTAACTAAAAAATCAAAATTGACCACTGAACTTTACAAAAGATTCAGAGCATCTTCAACTACCAAAATCAGATTATTTGATCATTTATTCTACTGTCATTTGAGAAACTTCATTGTGAACAAATTGGTTCTTATTGTTCTGTTTCAGAAGTATATTTCGTAAGTAGTTCATTGACTATGGGGTGCTTTCAGATGGAGATCACTGTTAGGTTCCAGCCCAATATTAAATGGAAAACTGTTTTTGTTAATGCTAAAATTAGGAAATGAAGACATGACAACTATTTCTAAGTATGACAAGTCCAACTTAGCTAAACTCAAAGCTGATTCTAAGGTTTTAGAGTAGATCTGTAGCTCGGGTTGTGGGTGTTGAGGTTGGTTGGCTCGCCGAGCTCACCACGAAGCATGCTATTAATAAACACATTGAACTCGACCCCATATACATTCCACTATGGAGGAAACCCGGAAGTGAGGCAATCCATTGCAACGGACCCCAGAGTTTAAAAACCAGGCGGGAAAACACACCGACGCTTCATCAGAGGCTGCACTGAGGATGTTGCCAAGCAGGGTAACAAAACGTCTGCAGAACAACAAACCAGCTCGGCGAACCAACCAACCTCAACAAAGCTGATTCCTACTGTACTGACGTGATCTTTTTGCATACCCTTCAATAATCATCCTTTAAAGCTCCCACAATCCAGAGTGCTCCTATTGTGGATATAGCAAATATAGCTAGTGTAGGTTAATGAAATTCCTAGTGAGAGTAAATAAATCTGACAAAAAAAAAGTAGTGACAGTGATGATTATGAGGTTGCTGAATAAAGTGAAGAAATTAGAGAATTAACATGGCATTTTACTGTTCTCCAGGGAGAAAAATGTATAGGACACTCATGAAGAAATATGGGGAAGGAGGATATTAAATGGGTGAAGTCTTATATAAGCCACTGCTATGAAGGCATTAAATTAAAACCATATCATGCAAACGGTTGCCAAAGCTGAATAAGCGCTACTGATAAAACTTGACATCAATTTACAAATCAGCATTTAAAGGTTCACATTTCTAATCGATACAATTGTAAGCTTCAAACAACAAAAAAAATTCATAAAACAGTACACGAATTTTTGGCTTGTCTTATTATAGCATCTTTCTTAAGTTCAGGGCATCTCAAAGTGTCTAAAGCAAATAAAATATGTCAGCTGTTACTGAGGTTACTTCAAAAGTTAAACAAAAGCTAAAACGTTTTCACCACTGGATGTCCACAAGGTAGTTGTTTGTAAAATTTTAATCATCTGAAGAACTATTTATCATAAAAATGCTTTAATTTTCTAAAATCTACTTTCTATCTAAACTGTACCTTTAAAGTAGATCAACATACCTGGCAGGCTTGTGGTACTTGCAGAGGAAGTCAAATCGCTCATCTGGAACTGGCACTCTGCTTTCATTGGGATCAATGGTACAGAAGGGAAAGTTTTCTGCAGCTGCCTGACTTTTTGTAAGAACGTTAAAAAATGTAGATTTCCTGTTTCACAAAAGGGAAAAAAAAAGTTAACCAGCATTTCTGACAAAAGATACAATGAAGTAACAGTGTCTGGTCCAGCATACAGCAAAGTCAAATATTTTAAAGACAAAGGAACTAGTTCAAGGGACTGTAACTTTACATGACATATTTAGTCAACTTTGAACAGGTCACAGTCATGAAAAACAATGTACGTGGGCGGGGGCGGTTAAAGTGTTACAAAAGCAAAAGATGAATTAAGTATTTGCAGAGATTTGAAGAGAACCGAGATTTACTTTGAACATAAAAGGTGAGGAATGAGAGTGTAAAATCACAGAATATTACAGTACAAAAGGAGATCATTTGGTCTGTCACATGGTTGACAGCCTTCTACAAAAGCAACACTGCTCGTGCCATTCCTCTGCCCATTCCCACAGCCACAGAATTTTTTCTACTCAGACAGTTATCTGATTCCATTTTGAAAGCCATCACTGAACCCCTCCACCACACTCTCAAGCAATGCATTCCACAGCCTAACTACATGCTGTGTAGAAAGGTTTTATAATCACGTCACCTTTGGTTCTTTTGTCATTCACTTTAAATCAATGTCCTCTGGTGCTTTTTTATTTTCTGCCCTTAATGTCAGTGCTGAGCATTTCCCCTGGACAGTTTAGTGCCAGTCAGAAGCAAATAAAAAAAATCCTCAACAGTGGTCCAATAATGTACTTAAACCCTATCATTAAAAAGTACTACATCAAAGCAACAATCATTTTTTCCCCCAAACTCAGGCATCCTATGACCTGAATGAAACTGCTAATATATAGATAAAAAATATGGAATGAAGTAGAGGGCAAACACAAGCACAAGGGAAAGAGGGATAATCTGCAGGGGACATCACCCATCTATTGAAGAAACCTATTTAAATTTTCAATGCATTAAAATCAAAATCAAAATCAAAAGGATGAAACTGGGCAGATTCTGCAACAGCCAGATTACTGTCCAGGCAATAAATATGAAAGCTGACCCTAAGAATTTGGATTAAATTTTCAAGCAATCATAGAATCAGAGAAACCATAAGGATTATTGATGTGGGGACATTCAAAAAGATCATAGGAATTACAACACAAGAGGTAGGAGGTCCACTTATTTGTTCATGGAATGCCTATCACTAATTTCTCTTGAGGAACTGGAGATGAGACTGTTTCTTAAGTTGCTGCAGAAGCAGTACTGAAGGTACACCCAAAATACTGTTATGACAGAATTTAAGGATATTGATTTAACAATGACAGAACAGCAATATAATTCCAAGTCAGGATGGTATGAGACTTGGAAGGAAACTTGAATATGGAAGCATTACAACACCTGGACAACACTTGTCTGTGATGGTACAGCATACTGGTTTGAAAGGTGAAATTCAAAGACACTTAGCAAGTTCAACAGTGCTCCTCAGAGATAGTGCATACCACTTTACTGTCAGCAGTTAATGAAGGTGGTGAATGTTTAAGTCATAGATAGACTGCCAATCAAGCTGGCTGCTTTGCCACAGATGATGAATGCAAAGTGTTGTTAGAACTAACTCATTAAGGCCAGTACAGACTATTACACTGCACTTCTGACTTGCAGCTTGAATGGTCAATCATTAGGGAAATCAGGAGTTGAGTTACTCTCTAGAAATTCCTAGCGCCTGACCTGCTCTTGTAGTTACAGTATTTATAAGACCGGCTTGGTGAAGTCTCTGGTCAATGGTAATGATCAGGATTTGATGGTGGTGGTAGGGTGATGGTAATGCCATTGAATGCCAACTGAGATGGTTTCATTCTCTTTTGGAGATGGTCACTGCCTGGCAGTTGGGTAGCATATACTTCACTTGCCACATGTGAATGTTGTTCATTTAGGCATGAAGATCTTTGGCACTGAGCAGCTGCAAATGGGATTGAACACTGCAATCATCAACAAACACCCAACCTTATGATGGAGGGAAGGTTATTAATGAAGTAGCTGAGGATGGGTGGACCTAGGAATCTAGCCTGAAGAACAGCAATGTCCTTGGTCTCAAATAATTGACCTCCAATAATCCTAACTATATTTGGCTCCACGTGGGGACAGTTTTCCCCAAAATCCCACTGATTTAAATTTGCTCGGGTGCATTCAAGGGCTGCCTTAATGTCAAGGGCATACACTCATACCTCCCGACTGAAATTCAGGTTTTTGTCACACCCTTAGACAAAGGCTTGTCTCAGGATGGTCCTGATGCAACAGAAATGCACTGGGCATCAGATTCATACTAATTGGGGCTTGATAACACTTTCCATCACTTTGCTGATGTTTGAGATAATAAACCAGATTAACTTTCGTTTACCAGTTCGATTATGGTAATGGAGGGATTTTCTAATGAGGAGAGGTTGGACTTGTACTCAGTGGTTAGAAGAATGGAATGTTGAAACAAAAGATTTTGAAGGGTCTTGACAGGGTAAATGCGGAGAAGTTGTTCCCCTTATGGGAGAATCTAGGACCAGATGGCATCATCTTTTGCCCATTCAAAACAGAGATAAGGAGAGTAGTCAATCTGGGTTGTTCAGTATATTCAAGGCTGAGTTAGAGAGACCTTTAATCCATAAGGGATTCAACAATTTAGGGCAAAAGGCTGAAAAGTGACATTCAGCATTATCAGATCAGCCATAATTGGCAAAGCAGACTCGGTGAACCAAATGGCATATTTCTGCTCCAACATGTAATGGTCTGTTTTTGAAGACAAAATAGATAGAAGTCTCCCACAATGTCAGATCAATCCCAGTGTTGTGGCTGTACTGTGATAGTTTGGTTTAGGGTGTGGTTAGTTCTGATGCACAAGTCTTCAGTGCTACGACTTGATGATATCAAAGTACATGACCTGTACATTCAGCCATTTCTTTAAATCTTGGAGTGAATCAAATTAGCCGAACACAGGCATCAATGATGCTGGGGACCTCAGAAAGAGCAAATTAAATATTCCCAGCGTACATCTAGCTGAAGATGATTAGCAAATACTTCAGCCTCATCATTTGCACTGATGGATTTAGCCCCCCTATCATTGAGAATATAGATGTTTGTGGAGTCTTCTCCTTGCTACGTTAACTGTTGCCTGTTCACAACTGAACTTGGCAGGATTGCAGAGTTTTGATCTGATCTGTGTGGAATTGCTTAGTTCTGTCTATAGCATCCTGATTACATTGTTCAGCACACACAGGCCTGTGTTGCAAATACCTAATGGTACAGCTGGTACACTCTCCTACACTGTTCATCGAACCAGGTTTGATCTCCTGGCTTGATGATAACATCTTACATGTGCATGCACAAATGTGTTTGTGGGAGTGAGTGCTTTCATTGCATTTAAATTTCAGGTGTTGTGTGAATAAACATTAATCTTTTCTTTACCTTTAAAAACTTACCAGAAAGCTTTTTTTGTCTAATCAGTAAATTTACAACATTAAAAAACGTTTAAAACACACCCTTTTAAAAAAATACATCTTACTGCAGTCACCAGGGAGGTGAAGTTTTTCAAAAATAAAAAAAAGAGGGACGGATACCCCACCATTCCTTTTCTGCCTAAGATGATGCCACCAAGAGACTACATTGATAAAGTGCTCAGTATTTAAAAAAAAGCTTCATTTCCACTCTGTGGTATTCGTTCATATTAATACTATCATGGGCAGATGCACTTGGAACAGTTAAGTTGGTGAGGGCCAGTAGGTTCTTTACTCTTACTGGTTCTCTCACCACAGACCCAGTCTGGTAGATATGACACTTCAGGCATTACCAAGTCATTCTTGGTAGTATACACTGAGTTCTGCGCTTCCTTTCAATGCTTGTCTAATCCATTTTGAACTGACAGCCAATGCCACAAAAGTATACTTTAAGGTAACACAGAGTACAATAGTCTCCAAGATGTTTTTGTAAACTTTCATTTGATAATCTCGAACTTACAGCCCTTATCAATATGTTAACTTCAAGACTGCAGACTAATGACAAATAAATATGTCTATTCAGTTTATCAAATTCATTTTTAAATTACTCTTAAATATCCTCTTCCACCACTCTATTAGAGCATGAACCTTCCAGATATTTGTCTTAAAATCGTATTTCACTAGTTTAAATATATTATTGTGATTTTTTTTTTAAAATTACATATCTAAAAGCAAACTGCTATTTCTACACTTCAGGATTTGGAGAAAATGATCACTTCTTTGTAAACTGAAGAATCCAAGTTTCTGAGTTATTCCTCATAGCCTCGCAGCCAGAATTCAAGTTAGGTGGATAATTGGCACTAGCCTATATTTTTCATGTTTAGGTTATACTGTTCAAGATTGTATCACATTTGTTCATTTTTGTTCTACATCAGTTAAATATTTTGCGCATGAAGTTTACCTAGTTGTTAGATTTTGTTTAAATTCATCCTAGGATATTTTAACAACATAGAGTACATGTGCTGGCTATTTTTCGTTTGACATTCTTCATAACCAGTACACATTGTTTCTTTACTTGTCTCAATTTCTTGCTCACTTCCACATTTTTCTTAAATTCTCATGACTTCAAAGTTTAATATGAAATTTTGTTCAATGTCTTTGAAAGTTGAGCTGCACTCTGTTGTACAGGTACAGATGTTTAGATTTACTCCTGTTAACTTATATGATTATTTTACAGGGAATGAAGTGAGAACAGGAGGGTTGCCAATTTGCTCAATTTACCTATTTGAATACGGGCATTAAATTATTCCAATTCCAAACTAATGGTAGCTCCCTAGTATCTGTTCAATTTCTCAACTGGGGAGGTGATGGCCTAGTGGCATTATCACTAGACTGTTAATCCAGAGACCCAGATAATGTCCTGGAGACCTCGGTTCGAATCCCGCTACGGCAAATGGTGGAATTTGAATTCAATAAATACCTGGAATCAAGAATCTAATGATAACCGTGAATCCATTGTTGATTGTCAGAAAAACCCATCTGGTTAACTAATGTCCTTTAGAGGAGGAAACTGCCACCCGT